ATCCTCTAGATCTTGGTTTAAAACCATATTGAGATAATATTTGAAAAGCATCATGGTTAGCGCGGTAGGTCTGGTCATCCTTTCCCATCCTCCACGCACCTAAGGTAATTGAGGAAAGTGGAGGGAAGATAGGCTGGGGCTGTGGATGACTTCAGCAATGTTTGATGGATATTGGCAAATCGTTTGCACAGTAACTCCAACCCCCTGCCCTCCCCATACACACACACAATAGTTTTGTGCATGTGTGTTTGGCCTTTTCAGTCAAACATTAAAAAGCTCCACTGTTCTGTTGGCTTAAACAGTCTTCACTGGACTAACTCTTCAGTAGGGTGTAAAGCTCCCAAATTAGCCCTAGCTGGTTTGGCTCAGTGGATAGAGTGTCTGCCTGTGAACTGAAGGGCCCCATGTTTGATTCCGGTCAAGGGCATGTACCTTGTTTGCAGGCACATCCCCAGCAGGACGCAGCTGATTGATGTTTCTAACTCTCTAGCCCTCTCACTTCCTCTCTGTAAAAAAAATCAATAAAATATATTTTTTAAAAATAAAATAAAATAAAGCTCCCAAATTAAAATATTGAAGCACAAACACAACACAAGCAAGTCGGTGTGGCCAGGGCCCAGCCACAGTGGCTCAGTGACTGAGCGTTGACCTATGAACTAGGAGGTCAGGGTTCAATTCCCAGTCAGGGCACATGCCTGGTTGCGGAATCGATCCCAATGATAGACGTGCAGGAGGCAGCCAGTCAATGATTCTCTCTCATCATTGATATTTCTCTCTCTCTCCCTCCCGCTTCCTCTCTGAAATAGGTTAAAAAATATATTTATTTTTTAACAGTGTGACCATGTCATGGTTACCTCTGTGTCTATAGAGTCACAAAACCCACCATAGGATTAATTTATTCAAGTATTGATTGTCCGGGTTGGGTGGCTCAGTTGATTGGAGTGTCATCTGGTGCACCAAGGCAGGTTTAATTCCTGCTCAGGGCACATACTTAGGTTGCAGGTTCAATCCCCAGTCGGGGCACATCCAGGAGGCAACCTATCGATGTTTCTCTCTCATCTCTCTCTCTCTCCCTCCCTCCTTCCCTTCCTCTCTCTCTAAAATTAATAAAAACGTATCCTCAAGTAAGGTTTAATTGAGCTAGGGGTCATGCCCAGAGCTGTAGATGTTGATGAACGAGACAGATGAAGCCCCTGCTTGAAGTCTCGTGAAAGAAGCAGGAACTGAGCAATCACTTTCTTTATTTTCAAGAATACCTTTAATCATTTTTGCTAGAAAATACGTTCACATTGTTCAAAACTCATAAAGTACAGAAAGATACATAGTGAAGAGTTCTGTTCTACCCCTGAGCCCCAAGTGCCTCAGTTCCCCTCCTTGGGGCCAATATTTCTAGCTTCTGAAGGAATTTCTACAGCACGATCAATGCAGTAATTGGAGGAGTGCAGAGTTCCGAGAGAGCACATGGTGGGAGTGCCTACGCCAGTCCAGGTTTAGGGAATGAATGAATGACCAAACAAGTGTTTCTCGAAGACCCCAATTCTGTGGAGGAAGAGAAGAAAAGGTGAGAAAGAACCACCAGCCATGGACCCTGATGCCTTAAGCCCTGTGCAGCCCCCAGTCGGCCAGAGACTGGGGTTCTGGCTGTGATCGCCCCTGAATGCGACTCTGCCCCTGGCCAGCCACTGATCCATTCATCACCAACTCATTTAGCAGCAAAGATATCCTGGCGCAGTGCATCATGCTTAGCACCAGGCCTGTCCCCTTGGAATACTCTGCCCAAATCTGCAAACGCTTGTGAACCTACCAGAACTTGCCCCCCGAGTTTTGGTTCTGAGAACAGGGGACTCTGCTGAACCTTGGCTGACGTGCTGGCAGAGGGATTAGGAAAACTATGCTGGGAAGGGTTTCTTTTCCCCAAACTGGTTTTCTACAGTATCTGTCACCAGGAAGAGGGCAGGGTAATAAGTAATAAACCAGCAATGTATCGGGCACATAGCATCTTCTTTTTTGGAGTTGAGAGAGGCTGAGTGACTTGCCCGGAGTCACCCAGACAGGAGCTGGGATATGAACCTACATCTGCTGGGCTCCACTCCACTCCACTCCACTCCACCCCTACTTCTCACAGTAGCTGAGATGCTTAAACAATACATCTCCCCGTCAGGGCTCCTGGGGAAGCCCATGAATCCCCTACATTACCCTTCTCAATTGTGCTGACCTTCCTGAGCGAAATCTTTCTACCCATTAGGGTATTTATTATAGTACCTTGGGCCTGTGAGACTGCCAAGGGCCTAAACCAGTATATTAAAAACCTAAGAAGATGCCCTAACTGGTTTGGCTCAGTGAATAAGAGGCCTGCGGACTGAAAGGTCCCAGGTTCGATTCCAGTCAAGGGCATGTACCTGGAATGCGGGCACATATACCCAGTGAGGTGTGTGCAGGAGGCAGCTAATGGATGTTTCTCTCTCATCGATGTTTCTAACTCTCTCTCCCTTTCCCTTCCTCTCTGTAAAAAAAAATCAATAAAATATATCTTTTTAAAATACCTAAAAAGATGTATAGGCTCCAAATTTTTAAAAGAAGATTGCAAAACTGAAATGAATGTTTAATAAAATAGCTACAGTAGGCATGTCTACTAGTCAACCATAACTGAATTTACTAGTAACTCTTACATATTTACATATAAATATATAGTATACAAAAGATTTCCAAGAACAGAGCGAATATTATTTTTTCTTAATAAAGTTCAGAATTAAAATAATCCTTCACATTTTTTAACTATAAAGACTAAAACTGTATTTCATAACTGGGAAGTGAGGTGCATTTAAAAACACACACACATATATTTGTATTGATTTCAGAGAAGAAGGGAGAGGGAGAGAGATAGAAACATCAATGATGAGAGAGAATCGCACCCCCACTGGGGATGGAGCATGCAATCCGGGCATGTGCCCCTACAGGGAATCGAACTGTGACCTCCTGGTTCATAGACTGATGCTCAACCACGGAGCCACGCCACCTTGTGAGGTGCATTTTGATGTGTTGGAAAGGACACGTGGTCTTAGGAAGGGCCTGGGGTGGCGGGAGGAGTCTGGAGAAGGGCAGGGGACAAGCACTGGCCTCCCAGCTGCTTTGAGATGGAGACCACAGCAGCCACCGCCGCCAGCCTCACCCACAGCAGCGGGGCCTCTCTGGATTTCTGGTTCCTGAGTTTTAACAGAGGCCTGAGGGATGCCTGCCCGGCAGGCTGAGCCACCAAAGCTCTGGGGATCAGGGCGAACAAAGCAGAGGGAAAGCAGAGTGCTGACGGGGCAGAGGCCGCCCGCCTGCAGGCCTATAAGAGCAGGGCCCCGGAGCAGGTGGCACCACATGGAGCCCCAGGCTGTGCAGCGAGCGCTGGGTGAGTAAAGGCCTGAGGGCTGCTCTGGCCCTTCCTTCCTTTCTCCTGCAGACACGTGCCCAGGAGGGGCCCCAGTGTTAATGCGGCCAGAGCCTCCGAAGATGGCTGGAGAAGAGTGGGAGCTCTGCAGGGAGACAGCCTTCTCTGGCCACCCCGAAAGGAGTCACTAATAAGGCGAAAATCACTCTCCTAGCCATCACCACTGGGAGGGGGCATGAGGCTGTGATAAATGCTCCTAGGGCATAGGGAGAACGTATAGGGGGCAGGAGCTTGGAAATGCTTATTCAGAAGTTCAGAACGGGAAGATATGCCACATTGGCACGCATCAGTCCCTGGGCCAGATCCTAGACAGAGGGAAGGGCCATGAACGGCTGTTCTGAGTCAAGAACCTGGACGCACAGATGCCTGTCTTCTTTCTTCTTTCCCTCCCTCCCTCCCTTCCTCCCCCTTTTCTTCCTCTTATCCTTCCCTTCTTTATTCTTCCTACCATCTTTTCTGTCTACCTAACCTCTGTGAGACTCAGTATCCTCATCTGTAAAATGGGGATCCTGATAGTATTTACCTCACAGGCTGGTTGTGAAGATTGCATGTTTTAATGCATGTAGATTGTAGAGGCTATAGGACAGGGTCTGGTGCAGTGAGCCACTGTTAGGTGTTAGCTATTATTGTCCCCTTCGCTTCCCCACTTTCCTTCAATAAGCTGTTTTCAACGGCGCCCTTGCCCCCATACCAACCTCCCAATGCCCCAACGTGGACTCCGCTCGGTGCTGCAACGTTCTCTCAGGAGACCCAGGCCCTGCCCTGAGATGTTCTCCAGGACATAGTCAGTGGGAACACAGATCAGCACTGTGACGAGTGCTAGAAATCAGGGAAGAAAACAAGCTGCTGCAGGCCCGGGGAAAGCAGCCAAGTCTCTCTGAGGGGCTGGGCAGGTTGAGAGGCAGAGAAGTAGGAGGGAATAGGAGCATGGCCATGCACAGCCCGTCAGTTGGAGGGCCGTGAAGAGCTAGGTGAGGGGAGACCACACACTGGTAAGATGAGGGATTGGACTAGATGGTTGCCAAGTTTACATTAGGGTGTGAGACTGAGGCAATGCTGCCACCTGTAGGGGCTACCTGGAGGCTGGCGAGTGAACAAGAGCTACACTTTAAAAAAACACACAGACAGTATTTTATTAATCTCCCACGGAGAGGAAGGGAGAGGGACAGAGAGTAGAAACATCGATCCGCTGCCTCCTGCACACTCCCTACTGAGGATGTGCCAGCAACCAAGGTACACGCCCTTGGCCAGAATCGAACCTAAGACCCTTAAGTCCGAAGGCCGATGCTCTATCCACTGAGCCAAACCAGTTAGGGCACAAGAGCTACATTTATCAAGAGGTCACAATGCCTGTGCCATGCTTTACCTGCATTATTGCTTCCTGTCCTTCAATAACTCTGCATGGAGGCTCTGCTGATGGAAGACAACAGACTCCACTAGCGAGAGGCAGAGCCAGAAGCCCAACCAACATCTCCCGGCTGGACTCCAAGCCTCCTTTACTCTCCCTCTGCTCCAGCACCTCGTCTCCATCCCACAGGCCATGTCATTGGTGTGTGTTCTGTCTTCCAGGAACCCTTCCACCCGCCAAAATGGCTCAAACCAATCCCATGCCAGGGTCCGTGGGGCCATGGAAGGTAAGCCCTCCCCCACCACATGGCAAAGTTCACAGGGGAAGGTCCATCCAAGGTCCAGATGTTTTTTTTCAGGGAGGATCTTTTAGGATGTCCCATTTGGACAGAAGGATGACCCTGGAAGCCCATGATGAGTGGGAGATAATATCTAGTTTTCTAGTTGAGCTCCTCTCTGTGCCGCTAATATCATCTTAAAGTTGAGCAGCCCAGAGTAAATTAGGCCATGGAGAAACTGAGAGCCCGGAAAAGAGAGATTTGCCACCTGGTCAAAAATAAGTAATAGGACCCAGGTCTTCTGACTCTCAGCCTGAACTTGGTTGTAACTATTGCCTGAAGCAGCTGATTCTCAGTCTGACCCTCTACCCTCTTCACTGGATCAACTTGAAGGCCAGTTCACAGCTTTGGGAGTTAGCTGTCCTCTAGCCAGATTTAAGAATTCTCATTCAAGGCATGGAAAGGGTTCATTACAACTCTTTCTCTATACCTTAGGTTTCTATAGCATGTTTGGCTGGAGAACCTAAGTAATAATCCCCAGGGAGCCTCTGGACCTCCCAGAATCCTGGCCCCTAAGCCACAATTATGCAGGAAGCTTAGTGAATAAGAATCCTTGAGTCCTTGATCTGTCTACTGGGCCAACTATTGTTCCTAAGAGACCATCCTATACAATAAAAGGCTAACATGCAAACAGTGGAACGACCAGTCGCTACGACGTGCACTGACCACCAGGGGACAGATGCTCAACGCAGGAGCTGCCCCGTGGTGGTCAGTGCACTCCCACAGGGGGAGTGCTGCTCAGCCAGAAGCTGGGTTCACAGCTGGCAAGCGCAGTGGCGGTGGCGGGAGTCTTTCCCGCATCCACGGCAGTGCTAAGGATGTCTGACTGCCGGCTTAAGCCACCAGTTGGACATCCCCCGAACACTCCCAGACTGCAAGAGGGTGCAGGCTGGGCTGAAGGACTCCCCCCACCCTATTTCCTATCATAAACCAATCCCCCACACCTTATCCTTATCCTGGGCATGTGAACACCACCAACTAGTGGCATTAACTCAAACATCTTCCTATCCGTCTATAGTGAAAGAGACCTCATCAGGCATCCTGGGCTAAGCTTAGTGAGAGAAGACACAGGGTCACACATAAGCTACACAGTTGACCAGTGACTCTGTTTTTCCTGATGTATCACATTTTCTCTTTTCCATTCAATCTCATTTCAGATTACCATCTATGACCAGGAGAACTTTCAGGGCAAGAGAATGGAATGCACCAGCTCCTGCCCAAATGTCTCTGAGCGCAGTTTTGATAATATCCGATCTCTCAAGGTGGAATGTGGCGCGTGAGTATGGACCTCAGCAGAACCTCAGGCCCCTTACTGCCAGTCCCCTTAGACTTGGGGCCATAAAGGTGGGAATTGGGGAGGAAAATGTTCCCCAGACTCTACATGTGTAATTTAGTGACTCAAAGCTAGAAGGTACATGAGGTTTTAGTGGCTTGGTACTAGATTTGTGGGGTATTAAAGAAATATATAGCCCTAGCTGGTTTGGCTCAGTGGATTGAGCGTCAGCCAATGGACTGAAGGGAGGGTTTGTTCCAGTCAAGGGCACATATCTGGGTGGCAGGCTCCATCCCTGGTGGGGAGTGCACGCGGAAGGCAACCATCGATATGTCTCTCGCACATCAATGTTTCTCTCTCTGTCTCTCCCTCTCCCTTCAAATCTCTCTAAAAATTAGTGGAAAGATATCGTTGAGTGAGGATTAACAAAACAGAAAGAAGAAAGAAAGAAAGAAAGAAAGAAAGAAAGAAAGAAAGAAAGAAAGAAAGAAAGAAAGAAGGAAGGAGAAGGAAGGAAGGAAGGAAGGAAGGAAGGAAGGAAGGAAGGAAGGAAGGAAGAAGGAAGGAAGAAGAAAGAAGAAAGAAAGAAAGAAAGAAAGAAAGAAAGAAAGAAAGAAAGAAAGAAAGAAAGAAAGAAAAAAAGAAAGAGAGAGATATCCTGGGTTGGGGCAGTGACAGTAATCAGATCTATGCTTCTGGACCCCATAGGCTGCTACCTAGGATTCCTTTACAACAGCCCCAGGACCCTTGAGGTTTTCTTGCCTTCAGAAAATAGAGAGAAAACAGCCAAGTTGCAGCCTCTTTACAACCAACTCCCCTCCTATATGGCTCAGAGAAAGAGCAGACATCACCAATGTCTCTGTGTAAAAAGGAACTCAACTACAGCACTAGAGAGTCATGTTGGTTTATATTTAGCTGTCCAGGGGTTTCTGGTTGATGGTTAATCTCTTCAGTGAGGAAGACCTTGTTTTGTCTTCTGACTCTTGGCAGGATAGCTGAGGCTTTATCATCAGCTTGAAAACCTAAGGAAAGGACTCTCATTTGGCCTTGGCCAGCAGTTAGCAAACTGAGGCTCGCAAGCCACATGCAGCTCTTTGGCCCCTTGAGTGCGGCTCTTCCACAAAATAATCTGTGCGATTGAAACGTACAGTGTGATTGAAACTTGGTGGCCCATGTGTAGAAGTTGGTTTTTGGCTCTCAAAAGAAATTTCAAATGTTGTACTGTTGATATTTGGCTCTGTTGACTGAGATTGCCAACCACTAGCCTAGGCAGGTGCTCACTACCAAAATTGAGCTTTTTAACTTCTTAAAAAGAATTATACTTTAAGGTATTGTCAGTAACTGAAGCCTGGTTGTGAAAATATGATCTGAGCAGTCTTATAAATAAGGTATAGGTATGCAACAGCAGGAGAAAGAACCCACAAAGTGACAAGGAAACAAGAGACTGTAATCCATCAGTTGCCTATTCAACCCTTTGACGCCTTAGGAAGAAGCCAATAGGTTTAGCTGGAGCCAAAGCAATAGTCAGTCACGTTATCCTGAACCTGGAGCCCCAAGTAGAGAACAAGGCAACTAGGAGAGAAAGGAAATATACCTTCAGACTGACTTTGCTAATACACATTACTCAGGCTAGTGAAGTAGACCCTTTCAGTGGATGATCCCAAAATAAACGCTATTTATAAACCTGCTTAGTGTGGCTGCCAGCTCATGTCCCACCTTACTAGTATGTGTGATGAATGTATTCTTTTGTATGGCTTGGTTAGAATTGGCTTGATATTTTATCCCACTATTAACACCTAAAGCAAAAATGCTTCTCCCCCGAGGCCAAGTAGAACTCTGAACATGAGGAGCAAACGCCACTAATTATCTTTGGCAGCTGGATTGGTTATGAGCATACCAGCTTCTGTGGACAACAGTTTATCCTGGAGAGAGGAGAATACCCTCGCTGGGACGCCTGGAGCGGGAGTAATGCCTACCACACTGAGCGCCTCATGTCCTTCCGGCCCATCTGTTCAGCTGTGAGTCTCTGCAATTTTTACTTCTGTGCCTGTGGGGAATGGAGCAAGAGAGAGTGCATATGGACTGACAAACCTGTTACTTCTCATCAGTTATGCTGAAATGTGGCAGGAAGAAAGAGAAAAGTAAAAAAGGGAAGAAAAACACTGGTCTCTCTATTCTAAGTTGGCCATTTGATTTTTATTTACTAGATAATAATTTCAGTAAGCTAAAAGTAAATGCCTTCCTATTTATAGGTGGCAGGAAGTGGATACTCAAGAGCCCAGATCTCCAAAAAGTGCAATGGGGTACTAAGTGAGAGCCTTATAATAAAAAAGTAAATCCTTAGCCAGTTAAAATTCAATCCGTGTAACATTTTACCCAGAAACAGGGAAATACTGAAGTAACCTTTCAATAAGTGGGATAACTGAAGAAACAGGTAAGTTTCCCAGTGTCTTTTATCTTTGATTCATAACCTTCTGGTTTCTAATACTAAGCATTACTCAATGCTGCATCAGTCTAGGATACTTCCTAGTCTTTGGAAGTTCAAGTAGACACAGGATAATCAACAGTTTATTGAAAATGATTCTTTATTGGGAAGAGTGAGGCTGGGCTACAACCTTTCCAAACATTTGTCTATATCATGTGGTTTTTTTCCTCATGATTTTAACGATTTCAACTTAGTTTAAAATCCTACTGAAGCCCTGGCTGGTTTGGCTCAGTGAATGGAGCGTCAACCTGCAGACTGAGGGGTCCCAGGTTCGATTCCCATTGAGGGCACATGCCCAGGTTGTGGGCTTGATCTCCAGTAGGAGGCAGCGGATCAGTGATTCTCTCATTATTGATGTTTCTCTCCCTCTCCCTTCCTCTTTGAATTCAATGTGTGTGTGTGTGTGTGTGTGTGTGTGTGTGCGCGCATGCGTGTGTGTGTGTGTGTGTGTGTGTATACACACATAAATGATTTTATATATATATAAAATACTACTGAAATTCAAGTAGTAAAGAAGGTAACCTAAAGTTATAGATCTAAAATATACTGCCTTATCTGGATGTTTGCATCTCACTTTAACTCTGCGTTTTTCCTAAGTATATACTCTGATGAGTTTTTAAAAAAATATGTACACCCAAGTAACCAATATTCTACTCAAATATAAAACAATTCCATCATCCCATAAAGTTCCCAGTGTCCCTTTCCAATCAATTGCTCCTCCTCACGTTGTATCACCAGAGCTAATTTTGGCTGTTTTTGTATTTCATACAGGTTAGTCTTTGCATTAAGAAATACTTGTATAAAAATAAAAAATAAAAAATAAAATTTAAAAATTTTAAAAAAAGAAATACTTGTATAGCCGGGACCGGTTTGGCTCAGTGGATAGAGCATCGGCCTGCGGAGTTAAAGGTCCTGGGTTCGATTCCGGTCAAGGGCATGTACCTTGGTTGAGGGCACATCCCCAATAGGGGGTGCAAGAGGCAGCTGGTTGATGTTTCTCTCTCATCAACGTTTCTCTCTGTCCCTCTCAATTCCTCTCTGTGTAAAATCAATAAAATATATTTTAAAAAATACTTGTATAGTATTCACATCCCTACTGGACTTTTAGATTATTTCCAATGCCACAGACACACACTTACTTTCCCTGTTAATTTGTGGGGCATTTTTCCACATTAGTGAATATTAATCCCTTGGCTGTGTGTTACAAGTACTTTTTTCCCCCTGCTGTTATATTTTTATTAGTCTTTTGTTGTTTCAAAGTATAGTACCAGTTGTGTGTACATTTCAAATGTTAGGGTATTAAATAGGATTATGGGTAAACTTTTTCTTATAAAAAATTGCCTTAAGTATTTTTACCTTAATGATCATGTAAACCAGGAGTGTTTTGATTTTGAAAAATATGGTAATCACAGAATTAAGATAGCCATAACACTGGTACTAACTTAAAAAAAAATTCTGGATTATAGAATCATAAGGAGTCCAAAATTACCATCTTTGAGAAAGAAAACTTTATTGGACGCCAATGGGAGATCTTTGATGATTACCCTTCCTTGCAAGCCATGGGTTGGTTCAACAACGAAGTTGGTTCCATGAAGATACAATGTGGGGCGTAAGTGCAGAAACTGTTGGAGCACATTTCAAAGTAACTCTTGTAGCTATCAAGTTTGAGACTATTAATATAGCAATGTTCATGTCTTATCAAATTTCATATATTAGCATCATATTGTATGGCTGTACCAGTCTAGTTATTTGTAATTTTGAACCTTAAAATCTTGGTACCAATCTTGGTCAGTTTTTCTCTTTCCCAAGACTCCCCTAGAGTCTATGGAATCAATTGTGTTGACTACTCATACCTTTTTTTCATGATCAAGGTTAATTTTAATATATATTTGTTTTATTGATTTTTTTACAGAGAGGGAGAGGGATAGAAAGCTAGAAACATCGATGAGAGAGAAACATCCATCAGCTGCCTCCTGCACAGCCCCCACTGGGGTTGTGCCCACAACCAAGGTACATGTCCTTGACCGGAATCGAACCTGGGACCTTTCAGTCCGCAGGCTGACGCTCTATCCACTGAGCCAAACTGGTTTCGGCAAGGTTAATTTTTAACCAAGTATAGCCATTACTTACAAGTGGTGCCCAACACATTTTCTAAGTCTAAAAGCATTTCATACAATGTGCTGAAGAAAGAGGTTGTTTTGGAGTATTGACCAGTTCCTAACTAGGTTTTAATAGGCCAATGTGCTTTTGAATTTTCTAGTTGGGTTTGCTATCAGTATCCTGGATACCGTGGCTACCAGTATATCTTGGAATGTGACCATCTTGGAGGAGACTATAAACACTGGAAAGAGTGGGGTTCTCATGCCCAGACTTCCCAGATTCAATCGATTCGCCGTATCCAACAGTAGTGGATTAAAAGCTCCAAGAGAATTAATTCCTCAAGCGCGAGACCTTGTTAAGCAATCTAGAATGAGCTTTATGTTCTGCTCAGACACTGCTTACAAATGTTAGCTGCTGAAATACATAATAAATGTCATTTGAAAGAGACTGAATTAACTAGTATGCTTTATACAAACCACATTTAAATGGCTGCAAACTTTTAGAAACAAGTTTCAATAAAAACCCTGATTTCCGTGTCCTTGGAAGTCACTTACCAGCCCAACCACAATTATTCCCCATTTCAAATAACATTAAAGCATATAATCCAAATGTACCAGTCTGCAGTGACAGATACACTTTTGGCAAATGTTTCTGCATATTTCCCCCTACCTTAATAATGTTGTCAGCATTTCAACTTAGTGACAAATCAATGCTAAACAAACTTAGAAAATTTCTTAAATATGCATTAGCATATATTTCTACATGAGGTTATGAATAAATCCAGTCTTGGCAACTTATTTTGCTTTCTTAATTGCTTAGCTCAATTTTGGTTTTGTACTTTAAGGCTCAATGTCATGTAAAAAGGCAGGACAGCTGTCCTCACAGCTGATTTTTTCAATAAACATAACATTTTAAAGCACCTTTTTTAAAAATGCCATGACATATGACCACAGTACATTTAAAACTTAAATTTGTACATTTCACCCTTTGGAAATGTATCATCAATGTCAGAATATTAACTTGGTTTCAGTAATTTTTATTAAAGCACAGAACATAACACAAACACCTCAGAAAAGTTTAAAATTTTTTTATTCAACCATGTACACTTATTGTCTCTTAATTGGATCTACAAAGTTCTCAAGTTTTCTTTTCTGGTAAAATAAGTAAATCTTGGTATGGATGTAGAGTGTTTGTAATTTATATTTTTAAAACACTGAACATGAAGTAAGACATCAATAAAGGAAGATCATTACGTAACTGATACTTCTTCAGAATCCATATCAGAAACAACTATGGCAAATACCTAAGCATTTAGCAAAAGGATAAATTTCTGGCCACTATTCTTTTATCTAGACAAGGCCTATCTTTTTGATGGGGCAAAACAAACAGTGGGGGGAAAAATGTCTTGACTTGGGAGAAGGAAAATACCCTCGTAATTGTAGTTCACTAATTATCCTTTCCCCCAGATTGAGGTAACTCAGCTCCTAAATGATGACGCACACAAGACTGAACATAAGTGAACTACTGACAGATGCTGAGAAGCCAGAGTCATCTAAGATGATGCTACACTCCTGTATTTATGCCTTTTGAGGCCATGCATTATTGGCCACCTTTTGAGTCTTGACTAGTAGACTTAGTTTCTGTCACTTTCAGCGAAGATACAGAAGGGTTCTGCTGTGTTTTCAAAGTCAACAATAATACATCAAGAGCACACTTGATGACAGAGAATTAACACTCTTCTATACATAATTAAAAACTATAAAACAAGGATTTCTTTTATATGTAGAAGCATGGGGGAAATACCATTAGTATTATCTTCTACTTAAACTTATTAGCCTCTTCTACAAAGGTCCTGGAGAGATTACAAAACAATCTTTTAAAAGATGATTGACAAAACCTGGCCAGTAAATCTACACAATCTTTTAAGTACACATACATGTGAAATAAAGCTATTTATTTAGTACATGCAGACTGCAGCAATTGAACCAAATTCTAAACTTGTTCTAATCAGCTTGGGTAATTTTAAAAAGATACACAGTATCTTTAAAACAACCTGTGCTTAGATATGTAAGCAAGATAATGATTCTAATTTCAAGTCAATCATTCATTAAGCCAAATTTATGCTAAAGTTATAAAGGTAAATAGGTCATCTTACACCTTTAAACTAGGTTTAAGTCATAAAATTATCACAGAATTCCATGTGGCATAAGGTCCTTCCTTCATTTCAGTTTGAATTACTTCCCATGATAAAAATGCCCTGTTTCAAGAAAAGCCCTTTAGTAGATACAAGTCAAGCTCTCATTTAAACTGAAGTTTACTAAAACAGGTGCCAGTTTTCGCTCTTCTGCTTCCACTGATAGCCAAAACTATAATTTTGAGCCATGTTTCAAAAGATGGTGAAGGTAAGAACAACAGAGTAATAAGGATAAGTCACTTTGGGTAATGACACACAAATTAAAATTCAAAACATGTGCATAGCTTTATTCATCTAATTAGATCTAACCTTTTCATGGAGCTTCGGCAAAATTCGAGTGTGCAAAATGCATTTCTAAAATGTAATGCAAGCAAAGCTTTTCACATTTACACTGGCAAGAAATACAGAGAAACTAACAAGTCACATTAGGGAGAGTTTTTTTAATGACAAGAATTGCACAGTTCATCATTTTGAGACAATTGTTGCAGACATAAGTATTTAAATTTTTCTAAGCAAGGTGCTTTAACAATAAAAAATTTTAAAGTTGGAAAGAGCCAATAACTTGGATCGTAGCTCACATAGAATTCAAAATTAAAGCGGACTGTTATCTCCCTAGATTTTTTAAACAATGCTTTTTATAACACTTTTTTTTTTTTTAAATAACACTAAAGGAAACAGCAAGCTGAAACTTTTCAAAGCACACAAGAAATGGTGTCATCACATTACTCGAAGAAGGTGCTAAGGAAGGAGGGAAAGGGAGTGAAGAGTCCTTTTACTATTTTCCACTACAGAACAGCCACTAACAGACTGAAAGCAAACAAAAGAAACAATAAAAGTAAATTAAATCACTTCCCCAGTTTATAAAATAGTTCCAGTTTGTGACAAGATCTATAACTTTAAACAGAGAGCACCAGTTGAGCAATTAGAATGAGCATTTCATACCGCAGAAAAATTAGTGAGGCGGTAAGAACCATCAACCATCTCAGGCATTACTACATGGCCTTTCCAATCAATTTATTTTTAATACACATGCAAGGCACATTGATATAAAAATAGATCTCTGGCCAAGAAATATATTAAATAAGCAAATTAAAATTTTGGCTTTGCAATATTGGCAACATCAAAATATAACCAGATAGCTTTGGACCACATCTTTCTCATATTCCTTCACCCCATTTGGTGTTTTTTCCTCCTATTTTGGGTTCAATCTTCAAGTTTGGGTATGTGCTTGAGAAATGACTTTTCTCTTGTCAAGTAGCATCCCTACTATACTTGTTTATCTTTGCCAAGTAAAAATATACTAGAGAAGCAGAATCGTTGGAGTTCTAGTTTTATTTAATTAAACTAAAATCGACTGGCACGGGACAGCATTATTTCTCCTCTGTATACAAACAAAAAATTTAAGTCCTCAGCTTATATAGTAGACATTTTCTTTCTAAAAGAGAAATCAGCAACAAACCACTACTCCCCCTTTAAGCCATTCTTCCCAAATCCTCCTTTTGAGGCAGAGAGAAAATAATAGAAACAAAACTAAGTTTAAAGGATTTTTTTCAGTAGTAGAAGACATTTTAAGGCCAAAAAGTGTAATACTAACAGAATTTTTATTTTCCTACGTTATTGTCCTTCATAGTCCAATACCACAAAGTTAATTGTACTGATTCCCTCCCAAAGAGAATTTCAAAACTCATTCACTTTTGTTACTGGCTGTGCTACAGGAACGGTATCAAAACAACCTATAAAGATATGGTATATTGTAATGTAAAAAGTGCATCACATTTTTGATTTTCAGTTTCTCATAGCAGCAGCAGGATTAATCTGAGACAGATAAACAGCTGTATTTTAATTCTAAAAATGCATCATACCTAATGAAATGTATTCAAGATCATGAAAGGATCCTCCTCTATAAAGGATAAATGAAAAACTAATAATAGACAAACAGGGGCAAACTAGAGGCATTCATTCATATTTACATATTAAAATCATTTTGTTAACACCAAATCTTTATATCTAGCAAAAGAAATATTTTAAAAATAAAGCAGACATTACTAAAGCAGTATCCATTTTTGGAGCCTTTGTTTAGCACCTGAGGAAAAAAGGGAATATGGAAAGCTATATAATTTACCTCAAGTTGGGTTTATTGGTCTGTGGAGTAAAACTGATATACAATGAAAGGGATACTGCATAGGGGAAAAAACACATTTGTAGCTATTTTAATAAGGCTGTAGAAAAGGGATACTGCAGTATTATAAAATGGCTTTAAAACTCTGGACATACACAGTTGTATGGATAAATAGGGAAGTCTGAATCAGCAACCCCATCACATGTGAGGATGGCTGTTCCATAGGCTTCTAGCCAATAACTGCTGACACTCCCAGTAATGCAAAATCAACATACCACTCATGCTTCACTGGGTGTTTTTATTATGCATACAATTTGAAACACTATTTATTCATAAGACTCTTGAGTAGCAAAACTGAGTTTAATTTAAAACACATTAAAGCACTGCTTTTGAGTGGAGCCAATGATTCATCATTTAAAAAACCAACATAGAGTGGTCCTGTTTCTCACATCTGAATAGATGTAAGTATATTTAACAAAACAAAACATTTTATGATGCTTAAAGCAAAAACCCATTTTTCTCACCATAAAAGGTCCTGGTGCCTGTTAATTACATTAACAAAAATAACATATTAAGATCTGATAACCTATGCGTCTCTGCAAAATTAGAGCAGCTATATTTCTAGTCTTGCCCTTTGCCCATCCCCTTTAAACAAATATGTATTCTTTGGGAAGTTAAGCAAATCCTACCCTCTCTTAAATTCAGCAGAACTACCTAGGACTTAAGAGACAATGCCTGATTAGAATCTAATTCAACTGGTGCAGGACCAACAGACCTATCAGAAAAACTATTGTCCAAATGTGTTTTCCCCACTATATTGTCTGTTTTGCAGTTAGCATAGGTATACAAGAGGGATCATGTTATTTGAGAATATGGTCCAGTGGCATAACTACACTCATAATCTTTATAAATGAAACTTTTAATCTATTTCTCTAAAGAAAGCCTTGAAAGAATGATACATTATTTAGTGGGATTTTAGAATGTGCAGTCCTCTCACAGATTTCTTTGCCTGTGGCCTTTTGGTTTGTGACATACAATTTCACACTAAATAGCTTTTTCATGTTTGAAAAAGTGTACAGCAAAAGATAAACCATTAGATGCCTCTAATTAGGTTAGAACATACCGA